TCCTGGCAATGCGGGGAAAGAGGATGGGGGAGGGGGATAAGTACAGGGACACGCAGGCAGGGTGTCCCAAAGACTTAGGGGGCTTAGAGAGACAAAGAGACACTCTCGGGAGACTCTCAAGGGGGGCAGTCATGGGGTTCAGAGATTCCCCAAGGGACTCCTCTACAAAGCTCCCCCGCCTACACCCCGGGACTTACAGGGGCAGTTGGAAGCTGAACGGGAACTCATGGTGACCAGGGGGCAGCGTGGTGATCTCCCCGGTGTCTGCAGGTAGAAACAGGAGAGGGGGGCTCAGGAGTTATGCTGGGCCCGGGGGGGTAGCGGGGCTGCACCACCAGCGTGTGCAGCCCATGAGCCCAGCGGGGGTCCCCAGCCCGTACCTGGTGCCAGTAGCGTGGCGCGGTGGCTCACGACCTCCCAGCGCTCGCTATAGCTCTGCGTATACGCGGTGCTGGAGCCAGCGCTGCGCGACTCGGTCCAATGCACGTGGGCGCGGCCCCGCGCGCGCAGCCTCAGGGCACCCACGCGCACCGAGCCCGCCAGCTCCAGCAGCACTCGTCCCGCCACGGTCTGACCACCGCTGAACACGGGTTCGGCGCCCGCGATCGCACCATCCAGCTGCACCGAGAACGCTTTCACCTTGTCAAACAGCATCGTGCCCTGGGCCGTGAACGCACCACACGCAGGCCCTGGCTTCAAACCGGCAACCCGACGGCGCAAGGTGCAGACGCTGCAGCCTCGGGACGCAAACTCGCCTAGCGGACGCAGAAACATTCGCTGACCCCCGCCAGAAAGTCCCCTACCACGCGCCGCCGGCGCTGCTTTTATAGTGCAGGGTGGGCGGGGCGAGCCAACAGCCACGCCCCAAGTGGGCCCCGCCAATAGCGCGAGGAGGGGCGTGGCTCCGCCCAGGCGTGACACTGAATAGTAAACGCCCCCCGCTCACCGTCGTCAGTCCAGGACCTACCGACCCAGGAAGGGAAACTGAGTCACTACGGAGGAAGCTGGTCTTTTGCGGACCTCGGAAGTAAAGGGGGAGGAGGAAACTGAGGCCCGGAGGCGGGACTCGGGCCTGAGGTCACCTTGTGTCCCTCGGCTTAATCATCAATCAGCTGCCGCTTGCAGACGTGACTCGAGACACCTGCAGCCCTAGCCCGAGGACAGAGGTGGGGGGGGGAGGTGGCTTCAGCTGGAGCACGGAAAGTCTAAGACCTCCCCGGCAGGTTTCCCACGCTATGCAAAAGAGGAGGAGGGGCCAGCAGGTGGCCAGGAGATTAAGGATGCTGGACTCCCACAGGGTGGACTTAGGTTCGAGTCCCGGATCTGGTGGCTTGCTTGCTTGCTTTTTCTCTCTCTCTCTCTGGGTTGAATTAAAATAAAGTTAAATAAAAATAATTCTTTTTTTTAGAGAAGTTTTTAGCTACACGCGCGTGCGCTCGCCAGAAAGACAGAGAGAGACAGAGAGACAGAAAGTGAGAAATCACCCCCCAGGGGGAGATGGTCAAGCCGCAATCCCTTCTCCTCCATTCTCCTCTCGGGATCATGGGCACGCACGCACACGTGCCTGGCGTGAGTTGAAGCCACCGGGTCAAGGACTCGAACCCCGGTCAACTACATGGGAGTCCAGTGACATAGCCACTACACTAAGTGCTGGTCCTAATAAAAATAATTCTTCAAAAGAGGAGGAGGAGGAGGAAGTAGGTGGGGCTTCCCTCCACTTAAGCCTCCGCTGTCACTCGCTCTCTGATTGTCCCCGCTAAAGGTGACTTCGTCAAAGCCTCAATTTCCAACGTCTATACAGCCAGGAGACAAATTCAAATTAGTCTCAACTTCAAAGGGTCGTGCACGGATCACGGCATCCCTAGCTCGACCTCACCACCCAAAGCCTTGCTCCCGAGGTCATCAGCTTGCTCCTGACACACGGTCACTTGGTCGCGCATCCTCGCTTTTGGTCCAAGCTGTTCTTACCACGCGATGTCCCTTTTCCAACTCGCGGCCTTTGGCGAGCTCCTATTTGCTCCCTATACTTTTACCCACTCAGAGAATCCCCACCCCCATCCCCAAGACAGAGCTGAGTGCCAAGCGACGTTTAGGCACCCAGGGTCCAGGGCTGCAGTGTGACCTCAGGATGGCGCGTCCCTTCTCTGGGCCTCGGTTTCCTCAGATTAAAACAGCGCGCAGAATTTCTCGGGCGGGCGGGTGCCGTCTGCGGTGCGTTCGCGCCCTCTGGTGGCCACACGATACGCTACTCTTGAGCCTGGCTTGAGCGACAACGGGACTTCCCAGGCCTTGGCACGGGGGAGGAGGAGGGTACGGTCATAAACAGACACTGTCACTGACAGCCTGTGGTGAGTATCAGAGAGGAAATTAAAGGGCCAGAAGCGCTCTGATCAGCCTGGGGGACTTCCTGGAGGAGGAGGCTCTGAAGCTGAAAGGGGGCTGGGACCTGTCGCCAGGAGGCACCAAACTTTAAGCCCAAGAAGAAGGGAGGGATGAGGTGACCCTAAAGTACAGAGGCTCCCTCTAAGCCAACACTTCCTTCCGCTCTTTTACAGGTGGGCACCCCGAGACCAAGAGAGGGGCAGGGCCTCCTTCAAGGTCACAGAGCAGTCCTGCCAGTTTCCTCCTTCTAGCGGTTTAAGGAAGCCGCCAGCAAGTGTTTGGGGTCAGAGGGGGATGGGGAGGCTGTGGCGGGGTGAAAGTGGCCCCAGTATTTCTCCTGAGCAACCAAGCAGGAAGTTCCCTAGGGGGAGGGGGGCTTCCTGCCACACCTGGTCCACCTGGCTCCTCCCACCTCGGTTACCAAGAGGGGAGGGTCCCCCAGGCCTGGGGGCCCCTGACACAGGGTGGAAGTGGGCAAAAAAACTTGCACCAAGAAAACCGCCCCTCCCCCAAGAAATCTCCCCAAGGAATTCTTTTTTTTTTTTTGAGAGGTTTTTGCTATAGGGTGCATGCACTCCCCAGAAAGAGAGAGAGAGAGACAGAGAGACAGAAAGCGAGAAATCACCCCCCCCAGGGGGGATGGCCACGCCACAATCCCTTCTCCTCCATTCTCCTCTCGGGATCTTGGGCACGCACGCACACGCGCCCCGCATGAGTTTAAGCCACCGGGTCCAAGACTTGAACCACAGGTTGCTACGTGGGAGTCCAAGCGACATAGCCATTACGCCAACTGCTGGTCCCCTTTCCCCTCCCCCTATTTTGATTGGCCTCGGCCTCACCCACTTTGCATAAGGGTGTAGTGAGCTCTGGCTGAGCCGGGGAGGCGTCACTATGGCGGCCCAGAGAGGCCCATGGCCTCCTGCAGACACACAGCAAGGGCGGGGGCAGTCTCAGTCCCTTTGGAGTCTCCCACCTCCCACCTGCCAGGCTGGGGCGTCTGAGGGACCCAGTTATAGGGCTGACATTCAGAGCAGAGTAGGGACATGCCAGAAACTCAAGACTTGGGGCTCACGTGACTTGCTCACCCCAAGTCACCCCGTTTCCTCTTCTTTGAAAAGGAGTCCCACCCCTTATCCGCAAACACCAGCGGAACCGCCCGGCCCAGGGAAGAACCCATAGCCACAAACACTGCGTGGTAAGCGGAGGGATGGCTGGGTAGGCCATCGGGACACCAAGCCTGGGAATAAACAGGGATCCTGGAGGGGGGGGGAGCAGGTGGCAAGGTGGTTAAGGGCACTGGACTCCCACATGACCGACACCAGTTTGAGTCCCGGATCTGGCAGCTTGCTTTTTCCCTTTCTGTCTCTCTCTCTTGCTCTGCCCTCTCTGGTCAAATTTAAACAAACAAAGTTAAATAAAATAATTCTTTAAAAAAAAAAAAACTAAAAGATGGGGGACCAGCATGGTGGTTAGAAGCGCTGGACTCCCACATGGCCGCGGTTCAAATCCCGTACCTGGCTGCTTGCTTTCTCACTTTCTCTCTCTCTCTCCCTCAGTGGTCAAATTAAAATAAATTTAAATAATTAAGAAATAAATGAATAAATGAGGCTCCCTGAGGTCCAGCGGGGAATGGGGAGATGAGGTGGTGGTGGGAATGGGGTGGGAGATCTTGAGACTCCTCCCAGGGGCTCCCTAAGCCCTTGTTTTGCAGAAGGTCTCTCCAACGCATACCCTCTAAGTTGAGGGTACCCCCAACCCTGGAAAACGGATGATCAGACCCCAGGCAGAGGTTTCCGGTCCTAGATACACAGATGTACAGGTGGGAGGATTCATTCTCCCCTTGTCATCACACACTCCCCCAAACGGGGAGGAAAGGGGGCCCCCACCCTGAGAAGTACACAGCCTAGGGACCAGCAGTTAGCGTCATGGCTCTGTCGCTGGACTCCCATGTAGTCAACCGCGGTTCAAGTCCTGGACCCGGTGGCTTATACTCAGGCCGGGCGCCATGTGCGTGCGTGCCCAAGATCCTGAGAGGAGAATGGAGGAGAAGGGATTGCAGCGTGGCCATCCCCCCTGGGGGGTGATTTCTCGCTTTCTGTCTCTCTGTCTCTCTCTGTCTGGCGAGCGCATGTGCCCTATAGCAAAAACCTCTCCAAAAAAAAAAAAAAAGAAGTACACGGTGAGTGGAGATGCTCGAGCCCTGGAGAGGGGCGCTCAGCCCCGGGGAGAGGGTCCAGACTGGGAGATCTTGGGCTTAGAAACTTGGGGACTTGGGGACCTGGGGACCGGGGCGGGAAGAGGTCTCACCTCGAAGTAGCATCTGGCGCCGC